CGATAAATTAGGAAATGTTAAGGAAAAATTAAAATCTGATCAATCTGAGCCATTCATTTGATTAAAAAATTTGACCGCCATTTTTTCTACCTATTATAGGCCTAACTCTCTTGGACTTTTATTAGTATACTAGTTTTTTACGCGCATTGCGCGATTGGGATAATGCCCAATGTTTTTTTTTTTTTTAAATAAGTACTTTAAAGTATATTAAGGCAATATTATATTGAAATTGTTCATGCATAGATAATTGAAGGTTGAATTTGCATATTTAAATAGGTAATTCTTCTCCCAAAGGTTGAGTCCCCAACCCCAATGACCCCCACACTCCGACCCGACAGAGCATTGTGGGAAGTTGTAAATCACGGTGACTCAATGGTTCAGCAGACAGGACCAAATGCCGGTGCGAACAAGGAATCTGCCCACTTTGAACATAATTCCCGCACTGCCGCCGCTGAGGTTCAAACCTTGGTTTCTTCTCCCAAATACTGCCCACTAAACCATTGAGCTAAGCCCGTGCGGGTTAAATAGGTAATTCTAAGTTTACAAATGCAAGATAATATAGTCAAGATTGATTATAATTGTCAATAAAATAATTGTATAGGTATGGTTAAAACCAAATACGGGACATAAGGGAGAACAAATAAAAATTAAGGCATAAAATATTAAATATATACTAATATTGTTTGAGGAGATTTCGACATTAGGATTTGTGGTTAAGTTCTATTAAGACTTTAATATTAGAATTAGATTAATGGTGTAATTATAATTCTATATTAGACGTTAATATTAGAATTAGACTAACGGTGAATTAACGGTATTTAACAGAAAAATTAAATGGATAATCATATAATTAAGGATAAATTAGAAAAAACTTTTTAAAAAAATTAAAACCTGAACAATTTGAACCATTCATTTGATTTAATAATTTGGCGGTCATTTTTTCTACCCAATGTTAATAATTAAATAAATTCGTTGGTCAAATCCGCTAATATAATCCGCTAACGGCTGATTGTCAAACAAATACATTGCAAGGTAGTTCTCACTTCAATTTGTTGTGTGATTTGAATACTCTCTTTGTCACAAAATCTCTCAAGTAGTTAATATGGTTGGCTTTATTAATTATATATTTTTTAATTTTTTTCATGGTATTAATAAAATACTTGGTAAATAAATATATAACATTATTTTGTATTATAACTTTGATATTTAATTAGAAAAATAGTGCACAAAAAAGATAATAGACAATGTAGTGAATATAATCAATTGATGAATTTGAATGTAAAAATTTTTACATTTGAGAAAAATAAAGACAATATAACTAATGAAAATATTTCTCTTAATTAATTTATTGATAATGAATAATTTTTTTTTCACTGAATTAAGACATTGTAAGGACAATGTAGCGAATATAATCAATTAATAAATTGGAATATAAAGAATTTTTATATTGTAGAAAAATAAAGACAATATAACTAACACAATTATTTCTCTTATTTAATTTATTGATAATGAATAATTTTTTTTTTTGAATAAAGGCTTTGTGGACACATGATTCTAAATTAAAGAAATGCATATCTATAATTTTTTGTTGTAGCTACTAAATTATTATTTATATATATATAATTTAATAAGAGTAAAATAGAGTACTAATTATGCCAACTTTGATTGGGATGAGGTTCGAACCTAAGACCTTTTTTTTTTTTTTTATTGAAATCAATGAGTAAGTTAACGGTGAACTAACGGCAATTCTTAAAATTTTAACGGAATTAGTAACGGTGTGTGGGTATTTTAGGAAATTTTAGTGTAAAATTTATATCTTATCAATCTTTTAATCAATCTGAGCCATTCATTTGATTAAAATCTGTGACCGCCATTTTTTCTACCCATTATAGGCCTAACTCTCTTGGGCTCTTATTAGTATAGTAGATAGATAGTAGATTATTAGTATAGTAGATATATAGTAGATAGTAGATACTAGTTTTTTACGCGCATTGCGCGATTGGGATAATGCCCAATATTTTTTTTTTTTAAATAAGTACTTCAAAGTATATATCAAGGCAAGATTATATTGAAATTGTTCATGCATAGATAATTGAATGTTGAATTTGCGAATGGGTAATTCTAAGTTTACAAATGCAAGCTAGATAATATAGTCAAGATTGATTATAATTTTCAATAAAATAATTGTATAGGTATGATTGAAATCAAATACGAGACATAAGGAAGAGCAAATAAAAATTAAGGCATAAAATATTAAATATATACTAATAAATTTCTCAAGTAGTTAATATGATTGGCTTAATTATATATTTTTAAATTTTTTAAAACAATTATTATTATTAGTTGGTTATTAAATTTCCCAAGACCTGCCTTCTCGGAAGCTGGTGCAGCAGGCGGAGCATGCATTCGGGACTCTACCGGATAACTGATTGTGGGGTTGAGCTTCCACTTTGATGCACAGTCGGCCATAGAGGCGGAAACATTGTCTCTCCAACTTGCAATCTATTGGTGTGAATCCTTTGCCAGAAGACCCTTAGAAGTGGAAGTTGATTCTCTCGCTCTTGCCACCCTGATCTCATCGCATGATACGAGGGTTCCATGGAGAATTGCAGCTGCCATTTCTTACATTCGGTCAAGCCTGAATTCATGGGGATCGAGCATTCGACATATTTACAGGGAAGCCAACCGGGTTGCGGATGCTCTAGCAACGGCTGGTCTTAGTTGCAGCACTTCAAAAAATTTTAGCTCTTTGCTTTCGCTGCCCAATCAGGTTAAACTAGCCTAATTGTTTGATCTTAAAGGTTTTGCCACGCGTCGGGCTATTTGTCGCTAATAAAAGTTGCTTACTCTAAAAAAAAAAAAACAATTATTATTATTATTATTATTATTATTATTATTATTATTATTATTATTATTATTATTATTATTATTATACCCTTAGGTCATTTTACATGTTAATCTAATCAGCTAATTTTTTTCAAATATCTTTTTACCAACCGTTGATATAATTCGCTAGTCAAATCCGCTAATATAATCCCCTAACTGCTGATTGTCAAACAAGGACATTGCGAGATAGTTTTCACTTCAATTTGTTGTGTGATTTGAATACTCTCTTTGTCAACAAATCCCTCAAGTAGTTAATATAATTGAGTTTATTAATTATATTTTTTAAATTTTTTTATGGTATTAATAAAATACTTGGTAAATAAATATATAGCATTGTTTTGTATTATACCTTTGATATTTAATTAAAAAAAATAGTGCACAAAAAAAATAATAGACAATGTAGAAAATATAATCAATTGATGAATTTGAATGTAAAGAATTTTTACATTGGAGAAAAATAAAGACAATATAACTAATAAAATTATTTCTCTTAATCAATTTATTGATAATGAATAATTTTTTTTAAATAAAGACATTGTAGGGACAATGTAGCGAATATAATCAATTGATGAATTTGAATATAAAGAATTTTTATATTGGAGAAAAATAAAGACAATATAACTAATGAAATTATTTATCTTATTTAATTTATTGATAATGAATAAATTTTTTTTTTGAATAAAGACATTGTAGACACATAATTCTAAATTAAAGAAATGCATATGTATTTTTTTTGTAGCTACTAAATTATTATTTCTACTATACTAATAAGAGCCCAAGAGAGTTAGGCCTATAATGAGTAGAAAAAATGACGGTCAAATTTGTTAATCAAATGAATGGCTCAGATTGATCAGATTTTAATTTTTATTTTGGACTTCCTAATTTATCCTTAATGAATATGATTATCCGTTAACTTTTGCGTTAAATATTATCTTTTCCGTTAATTTATGTTAGTTCACCGTTAACTTACTCATTGATTTCAATTAGAAAGGTCAAGTTCGAACCACATCCCAATCAAAGTTGGCATAATTAGTACTCTATTTTACTCTTATTAATTAATTACTAGTTTTTTTATGCGCATTGCGCGATTGGAATAATGCCCAATGTTACCTTGTCATCTGTATAGTTATTGTTTAAACTAGACTATGCTAACCTTGTTAAAATATGGAACAGGTTGGACTAGTATAAACAATAAAAATTTAATTGAAGTCCAATCCATCCCATATATAGCCCAAAAGATTAAAAACTAAGAGTAAAATTTCTATTCAATTTCTTTAATTTATAATTATTACATTTGTCAAGTAGGTCACTACTTGCTCGCTGAGAGTACCTTGTCCTGTTTTGATGCCAAGGAATAGGCGGATGGGACTGCTCAATTCCCATTAATGGTGAAGCAGTATCAGAGAGTGGAAAATGGACATGGCTAGGGTGATTTGTGTGGTGTGTTTGAAGGGAACCAAAATTTGGGTTAAAGTATGTATGGAATTTTGAAGAGCTTTTAAGACTTGAAAGTGATAATGGTTGTGGTCATGAAGTTGTTTGCCCATTTTGGACAAGGATTCTACCTATTGAGAAGTAGAATTGTTAGATATATTAAATATAATATAATATATATTTGAGAAGAGAGAGAGAAATAAACAGATAATGTTTATTTGATGGGATGCTTTTGAAATGCTTTGCAAGTAAACATATTTATAGCAAGAGAAATGACTAGAATGCTAAAGTGTAGGGAATTAGTGCTGCATGAAGTGCTCCACGTTCTGCAACCACACGTCCACACACCTCACATATTTGCTTTCTAAATTCTAACAAACTAATTAGACATTGGTTTAATAATTATAATAATAATATTATTATAACAAGAATGAATTGAATTTGCAAGGAGTTATAGTTTGCTATGAAAAATAGAGATCAAAGAAACATTTTTAAAAAATTAAAGACTAAACCATCAATTATTTCGTTTCTTTTATGCTTATCAAACTTCATCGTAGTGCGTGGTAAAAGATTTAGATTCATTAAGGTGAAAATGCTTCGTTGCTGTTCTGATACCATGATGAAGTACGACATGATCACATGCGAGAGGAAAAGCTTGAAAGTTTATTGAATGCATAAAGTTCTAAATCCAGAGAGGAAAGAGATACAACAGATATATAAAGGAGACAAAACAAACGATTACAACAAACTAATAGGAAGAAACTACAATAACAAGCCTTGTTCTTCACCACCTTTCTCAGTTAGGTCTGCTTCATTATCCTCCAACATAAGTTGTCTGCTTGGTGAAGGGAAGCAACTTAAGCAACATTGACCCAACAACATCAATCCACAACCTATCATTTAGGTACAAAAAGGAAGCAATTGGCAGAGCCACAAATGCGGCAATAAGAATTGGTTGCCATGCCCTTCCATACGCCAGAAAGAAGACAGCGGTAAAAGCGAAGAGCATCCCACATATGGAGACACCCAATGCTGCGAATCCTACGAACAATCTTTTCAATGCCAAATGAAAATCGTCATCCGTATTGCGCCAAATGAGGATGGATAAGAATGTGAGAATTGAGACCATTGAGAAGATCATTGCCACAGCATCCGATATTGTGAAAACTGTAAAGCTTGCTCGTTTTATAAATATGGGAATACCTGTTTTGTCATCATTACCACCTGGTGCGGTGAAGGCGGCAGAAAACGCCACGGTGGCGATTAAGGTTGCCACAATCATGCATGAATCTGCTGTGCCTCTAATGGATTTTTCTGCATTTATCTTTAATTCCATGTGCTCTTTCAAAAACAATTGCTTTGGGGTTTTGCCCTCCCCATTTCTCATGTCATGATATGATGACGGCACAATCTTCTCCACACTCTAACACCTCAAAATTAAAGGATAATTAGGAAATTAGAATATATATATATATATATATATATATATATATATATATAGGCTTTGGATTCCATGAGAACACACCTTCAAGAGAAAACTAATAACAAACATCAGTTTTACATCTGTAAATATTTGATGGTTTTGATCAGATTAAAAAAAAAAAATGCCTGCAGTGACATTTTCGTAATTATCATAAACTTCATTATGCAAACTTTAACCATTAAATATGTCATCTTTAATAACTAAATAGAGTAAATTTCAATTTTGGTCCAATGACTATTGAGGTCTTGTTAATTTCAATCCACGACTTTAAAAACTAACAATTGAGTACCCTGATTATCCAATTTTTATCAATTTTGGTCTATCCGGCCAAATTACCGGCCAATTGTCACCGGAATCTTGTAATGGATAAAATTTTAAGGGTAATTTAGTCATTTGCTCTCCTTTTTATTTCTTCTCCGTTCTACTGGACTTCAGGCGAGCCAGAGCCGATGCCGCCGAGCATCAGAGTTTGGGTGGGGTCCCCTATTTTCCGGCAACATGACATGAACATGGACACGATAGAAATTCCATCTCCCAAAGAGTAGTGAATCCAGAGAACGACGCAATTGTGAGCCAAAAGGAGATGAATTTCCTACAGAACAAAAGGAAAAGTTGCAGCAAATCCAGCAATACTCCGCATAAAATTGAAAATTGACTAAACAACAAAAGATGAGATACTTTCAATACAAACTCATCCTACACAATCTGAAAATAAAATTTCTCCTCAAGTCAGCTCAAACTCAAATGGTTCTACGCCACCTTCGCGGCCGTAGGAATCTCTGACCATGAAACTGTTGAATCTTGGGTGTTTTCTCCGATTTAACCGCTCAATACTCAACCTCTTGGCTGATCGGTGAGTCCAAATCAATCAATTGTCTATCTGATTCTCTATCTGCATCTCCACAATCAGTCCTGTTCAAATTAAAACGGTCCTCAATTATCTCAAATTTTGGTTGAATTTGTATACTATTTATCATAATTATCACTAATGTTTGTGTTTTTGTTAATATGTTTGAGAAGCAACAAAGAGTATATGTTCCTGGCGTAAAGAGGGAAGAGGAAGCACTGGAGTTCGAGGTGTACAAGCTCAAGACATAGATATGCAACCGGCGGCATAGAAGAGACGGGGGGAAGAAGAAAAGAGGAGAGCAAATGACTAAATTGCCCCCAAAATTTTATCCATTACAAGATTCCGGCGATAATTGGCCGGTAATTTGGCCGGATGGACCAAAATTGATAAAAATTGGATAGTCAAGGTACTCAATTGTTAGTTTTTAAAGTCGTGGATTGAAATTAACAATACCCAAATAGTCATTGGACCAAAATTGAAATTTACTCTAACTAAATATACAAATCTGGTAAAGTTTATAAAATCAATGAAAAAGTTAAATTTTAAATCTAAACCATAAATGCTAGATGGGTAAATTATACCGTGGATCACGGTCCACGAAGCATTGTGGACCATGGTCCAAAACGACGCCATTTCTTTTAATGAAAAGAAACGGCACCCGTTCCACACTGTTTCGCATAAAGTAGTTCTGTTTGTATAAAATATTCAGTTTCATTTTATATACACTGCAGTTTCATTTCGATATAACTACAGTTTCATTCGACCATTATACACTCAAATATGTGAAACTATTATTTAGTTTCATTACAACACAATTACAATATCATTTCGATATAACTACAGTTTCATTGGACAATATACGCTGCAGTTTTTTTTTTTTTTTTTTTTTTTTTATATACACTGCAGTTTCATTTCAACATAACTACAGTTTCACTTCGATATAACTACAGTTTCATTTGACATTATACATTCAAATATGTGAAACTGTTATTCAGTTTCATTTATATATACTATAGTTTAATTACAACACAACTACAGTATCATTTCGATATAACTACAATTTCATTTGATAATATACACTCAAATATGTGAAATTGTTATTCAGTTTCATTTTATATACATTGCAGTTTCATTTCAACACAACTACAGTTTCATTTCAATTCAACTACAGCTTCATTTGATAATATAAAAACAATATTTGAGACGGTTTCATTGTAGATACACTGCAGTTTCATTTTGTAACTAACACACAAAAAATACGGGCTCCGTTAAGATGTAACGGCGGCCGTTTCTTTACTTAAAGAAACGACACCGTTTTTGGACCATGGTCTACAAAGCTGTGTGGACCATGGTCCACGATATAATTGTTGTGTGAGATGTTAAGCAGTAAAAAATGAACCACTAAACCAAATAAAACAAAAAATACCGTCATAAACTCTAAAATCGAAACCCTAAGTGCAATTTCCTTTCACTTTTTTGCAAGTGCAATCTTTTAATACTAAATGTAAAAATCTAGAAAATTCTAAAAATTGTAGATTTTAGTATTCAAGTTTACATAGTAAAATTGGTGATAATTATGAAAATGTCACCGCATTTTTTTTAAATACATATCTATTACATCCAATTTTTCAAGATGTATGGTTGGAATTTGTTTTAGTTTTCTCTTAAAGACTTGTTCTCATATGTTTTAGTATTCAAGTTTACATAGTAAAATTGGTGATAATTATGAAAATGTCACCGCATTTTTTTTTTAAATACAGATCTATTACATCCAATTTTTCAAGATGTATGGTTGGAATTTGTTTTAGTTTTCTCTTAAAGACTTGTTCTCATATGTTTCAATACCTGTATGTATGTATGTATGTATGTACACAGACACACACACATATATACAGGGATGAGTTCGGGTGCGGGGATGCTCCAGGTGCAGTCATGCGGTTAGATCTGAGCCGTTGATCAAATCTAGATCAACGACTCAAATCAATGAAAATTAAAAAAAAAATGCGTGTCTTGAAAAAAGAAGCATAAGCTAAAAAATGGTGCCCCTTAAGTGTTAAAATGGAGCACCTTAAGTATTAACATCGCGCACCTGCAGTTTATAACAATGACGCACCGTAAGTGAAACAAAGACGCACCTTAATTGTTAGAACAACGCACCTTAAGTGTTAAAATAGTGCACCTTAAGTTTTGTTCCTAAGGGTTTGAGCTAGGGGTCTGGCAAACCCCTTAGTCCAAAAGTTTTGTTCTTGAGAGTCTGAGCTAGAGGTCTGGCAGACCCCTTAGTTCAAAAGTTTTGTTATTGAGGGTCTGAGCTAAGGGCCTGGGAGCCCCGTGACTCATACCCCTTAGTTCAAAAGGGAAAAGGGTGGTGGGCAAGGAGTGCTCCGTTACCGGCCCTCTGCCGCCTTCTGTTTTGTTCCAGATTTGAAGAAGAAACACGACGCACCTTAAGCACAAGACCTACGCACCTTAAGCACAAAAATTACGCATCTTAAATTTCAATAAATACTCACATCACCTTAAGCACAAAATTAAACCCACGCACCTTAAGCACAAATATTATGCACCTTAAGAAGGAAAACCAGACACCTTAAATTTGACATAGATGCAAAAATTACCAAATTACCATTGCATTTTTTTTTTTAAATTTTGGTAATCCTGAACATTAATTTAAGAAAAATCAATGGCTTATATTTAACCGCACGACTGCACCTGGCCACACCAACCGTCTTTGAACCTAATTCTATATGTGTGTGTGTGTCTATATGTGTGTGGATAAGAATAGTGCATTCCGTACACTCAAAGCATTTTCAAATACACTGTCAAGTATTTCTAAATGCAATCAAACATTTTTAAATATACAATCGTAATTATAAAAAATTACAGAAATAACACGGCATTTTTTTTTCCATTTTTCATTGATTTTTAGTCTTGAATCATGACAGATGGAGAGATCATATTTGTCATTAGTTCTCGATCGATCACCTGGGAGATTGTTCTCATGTGAACATGCTCCCTTATATATATATATATATATATATATATATATATATATATATATATATATATATATATATATATATATATATATATATATATATATATATATTTTCAGATGATGATAGATGGTGTTGTTAGATGAAGCCACGTGTCACCATCTCAATCACCTTGGTGGTTATTTTTCGGTTATTCTTACTGTTCATTTCCCTCCGTTTCCAGTTGTTCAAATGGCCTTGTATATAAGCCAGTGTAATGAGGATTGCTGAGACTTAATGAAATAATTCCTTTCTTCTTCTTTTATGCTTTCGATCTCTCCATCCATCTTCATCCTCTAATCCGCAACATGGTATCAGAGCAGGAAGACTGAGATTCGCAAAGCTCTTCATGAATGGCTTCTGGTTCGATGAACGCATGGCCTCCGATTAGCAATTGGACTATTCCAGCAGAAATTCCGATCGAGAATCCAGCCACCGCAAACACGTCGCAGATTCCATCAAATCCAGGCACAGGATCTAATGGTTCTGAGGTAACTTTTGATCCGCAATCTCAATCGAATCCCTACTTCCTTCATATTAGCGAAAATCCTGCACTGGAATTGGTGTCAGTTCCTTTAGATGGAACGAACTACCATCCGTGGGCTAGGGCCATGACTATGGCTCTCTCATGTAAGAATAAGGTAGCTTTTGTTGATGGAAGCATAACCAAACCGACTAGAGATAACCTAGAAAGGTACCTTGCCTGGGAAAGGTGCAATAATATAGTTGTCTCTTAGATTGTAATAACTCTGACTCCAACTGTAGGAAGGAGTGTCTTGTGGATTGACACTGCGTATGGCATATGGAGTGATCTGAAAAGGAGATTTAGCCAACAAGATTTATTCAGGATAGCTGAGATCAATTGTGAAATATATCAAACTAAACAAGGGGATAGTTCATTGAGAATACTTTAGAAAACAAAAACTCCTGTGGGATGAACTGACTATTCTTTGACCTCCATTGAAATGTGCCTGCAATGAGAAATGTGAATGTGGAAAGAAGATTGATCAGCTGAATGAACACTCTGAGAAGGATAAGCTGTCTATTTTTCTGATTGGCTTACATGAGAAATACTCAGGGGCCAGAAATCAGATTATGCTTATGAGGCCTCTGCCAGATGTGAATGATGCATACTCCATGATTTCTCAACAAGAGAGACAGTTTCAGATGGCTAACACTGGTTTTGCAAGTCAACTATATCAGACAGGTGAAAACAGCTCAGCTAGTGTGATGATGACTAGAACAGATGGGCAATTCCAGTCAGGATTCAAGAAGAATTCTGCTGTTAACAAGAGGTCAGTGTGTACTTACTGTGGTTACACAGGCCATACACATGACAAATGTTATAAGAAGCATGGTTATCCACCAGGGTGGAAACCAAAATCAAGGAACCAAGGTTTTGCTAATCAGGCACAGGGTCCATCTCCAACTCAATCCAATGCTGAAAGTTGAATGTCCTTTACACAAGATGATGTCAAAAGGTTTATGGAGTTTATGCAGACAAATAAGTCCATCAATGCAAACCAGAACTCACCTTTTGATCAGCCATCTCAAGTCAGTGTCAATATCATATCCACTGACTTCCAAACTGAAGGTATGATTCCCTCAACCAATTCAGTTAAGTTTGATAGGAGTGATTGGATAGTAGATAGTGGTGCCACACACCATATTGTGTGCAATCTGGAACTGCTAAGCCATCAAAGAAAAGTCCATGATCTCCATGTGAGTTTACCAAATGGTCAGCAAGCTGAAATTACCTCTATTGGTTCAGTTCACTTATCTGATGATTTTGTGCTCCATGATGTCCTACATGTTCCTGGCTTCTGCTACAATTTAATTTCTGTGAGTGCCTTCATTAAGAAGTCCAATTGTGAGATGAAAATACATGCTAATCACTGCCTTATACAGGATGTTATCCATGGCAAAATGATTGGAAGAGCTAAGCTGCAAAATGGTTTATATCACCTTGTTTTCCCTCCTAGAACTCTATCTGTTTGTAATTCTATTCCAACCCTCAATAAATGTAGCCTATGGCATATCAGATTAGGGCATGCCTCACATTCAAAAATTCAGTTTCTCAAAATGTTGGAGCCCACAATTCAAATAAATAAAGAAATGATTTGTGACAGTTGCCATTTTGCTAAGCAGAAAAGAGTCCCTTTTCAACATAGTGCATCTTTGTCTACTAAGCTAATTGTTTTGATTTGTTACATGGGGATATATGGGGTCCTTACAGAGTTGCTACAATACATGGACACCATTACTTCCTTACTATATTAGATGACCACAGTAGGGCAGTGTGGATATACCTGATGAAGATGAAATCTGAAGTTAGGGGCTTGATCACAGAGTTCTGCAACATGGTTGAAACTCAATTTGAATCCAGGGTGAAATGCATCAGGTCAGACAATGGCATAGAGTTTAACATGGTTGATTTTTTCTCTCAAAAGGGAATCATACATCAGACCTCATGTGCCTATACACCCCAACAAAACAGCAGGGTTGAAAGGAAGCATGGCCATCTTCTTGCAACTGCAAGAGCTCTCAGGTTTCAAGCCAATTTACCAGAAGAGTTATGGGGTGAATGTGTTTTGCATGCTGCTTACATAATAAATAGATTACCATCTGCTGCCATAAACAATCAGATTCCTTATCAAGTCCTGCTTAAAAGAACTCCACAATATCAACACTTGAAGACCTTTGGTTGTCTAGCTTATGCCACAACTGTTGGCCCTAAGTCAAAGTTAGATGCAAGGGCCAGAAAGTGCATATTTCTTGGCTATGCCAATGGGACAAAGGGATTAAAGGTCTATGATTTCATGACCAAGGACCTTTTTATATCTAGAGATGTGATTTTTTATGAACACATTTTCCCTTTCCAGCAGGCTAACAAGACAGAAAAGGACAACACTCAGCTTATACTGCCCACTGTGGGATCCTTTCCTATGAGTGAAGCCATACAAGAAGATGTTCAGGGTCAAACACATGACATTTGTGGAGAGACAAGTCAATCTCCTATGAGTGATGCCACTGAGCTCAACAGAGAACTCAGACACAATTCAGGCAGTAGCAACAATAGTGAGCAGGCTGATTCTCATCCTGGCTCAGATGAGCATGCTGATAGTTCACCTGGTATTTCCCAATCTCATCCAGAGGTCACCAGGAGGTCAACAAGACAGAGAAATGCTCCCACTTATCTTCATGATTATATTTGTCACAATGCAGCTTTAAAGACATTTCCTCATCCTATCTGCAAGGTTATGGATTATAGCAGGCTGGCCACACCCTTCCAGTCTTTTGTGATGAACATTACTTCCCAGGTTGAGCCTAAAAACTATAAGGAGGCTGCTATGGATGAGTGTTGGAGACAGGCAATGCAGGAAGAAATCAAAGCTTTACAGAAAAACAACACATGGACCTTGGTGGAATTGCCCCCTTCCAAGAAGCCAATTGGTTGCAAGTGGGTGTACAAAATCAAGTACAAGGCTGATGGCAATATAGAAAGATACAAGGCAAGGCTTGTGGCAAAAGGATACAATCAAACTCTTGGCATTGACTACTTGGACACTTTCAGTCCAGTAGCAAAAATGACCACTGTTAGAACATTATTGGCTATAGCAGCAGCAAAAGATTGACATGTTCATCAGATGGATGTCAATAATGCCTTTTTGCATGGAGATTTAGATGAGGAAGTATATATGCAACTACCACCTGGCTATCCAGTAACAAATACAAGGCTAATTTGCAAGTTGAACAAGTCCCTCTATGGCTTGAAACAGGCCAGCAGGCAATGGAACACAAAGCTAAGCTTGGCTTTGCAGAAGATGGGGTTCAGACAGTCCTTACCTGACAACTCTCTGTTCATCAAGGGAGAAGGCCATTCCTATGTGGCCATGCTGGTCTATGTGGATGATATTGTGGTTGCAGGACCAGATCTCAGTCTAATTCAAGAGGTAAAACAGAAGCTTAATGCAAATTTCCAGACAAAGGACTTAGGTCCTCTGAAATACTTCCTTGGTTTGGAGGTAGCTAGACAGAAAAAGGGCATTGTAATTAGTCAAAGGAAATATGCCATTGAGCTACTTCAAGATACAGGTTTTCTTGAGTCAAAACCAGTTTATAGCCCTACAGTACCATCCCATAAATTAAGCAAAGATGAAGGAGACATCATTGAAGACAATACTCAGTACAGAAGAATAGTTGGCAAGCTTTTATACTTGACTATCACAAGGCCTGACATAAGCTTTGCCACTCAACAACTATCCCAGTTCCTTGATAAACCTACTCATCTTCACTTACAAGCTGCTCAAAGGGTGCTAAGATACATAAAAGCTGCTCCTGGACAAGGACTATTCTTCCCTTCATCTTCTGACTTACAACTAAAAGCATTCTCAGATTCTGATTGGGGTGCATGCATTGATACAAGGAAGTCTGTCACTGGGTTTTGCACTTTTCTTGGGAATGCATTGATATCCTGGAAATCCAAGAAACAACCCACCATTTCCAAGTCTTCCTCCGAAGCTGAGTACAGGGCCTTGGCAGCCACAACATGTGAAATCCAGTGGATATCCTATCTGTTAGCAGAATTTGGAGTAAAGTTAGTTGATCCTGTGGCTATATATTGTGATAGCAAATCCGCAATTGCCATTGCAGAGAACCCTGTCTTCCATGAACGCACTAAACATATAGAGTTGGACTGCCACCTTGTCCGAGAGAAACTCAACAATGGCCTGATCAAGCTATTTCATGTTCCATCTGAACATCAACTTGCAGATGTCTTTACAAAGACTCACTGCCCTAGTTCTTTTACCACTTATGTTTCCAAGCTTGAATTACTCAACTTGTACAATCCAGCTTGAGGGGGGCTTTCAGATGATGATAGATGGTGTTGTTAGATGAAGCCACGTGTCACCATCTCAATCACCTTGGTGGTTATTTTTCGGTTATTCTTACTGTTCATTTCCCTCCTTTTCCAGTTGTTCAAATGGCCTTGTATATAAGCCAGTGTAATGAGGATTGCTGAGACTTAATGAAATAATTCCTTTCTTCTTCTTTTCTACTTTCGATCTCTCCATCCATCTTCATCCTCTAATCCGCAACATATATATATATATATATATATATATATATATATATATATATATATATATATATATATATATATATATATATATATATGAGACGGAGATCATTATGGTTGTTACACTTACCTTGCTATTCCGATCCATGAATGCAAATGATATCATCAATCAAACAGCTATATATAAATGCATACTGCTTAAAGGAGGATATGGTTCAGTAGGTAGGTTCTCACCATAAACCATGAAATCTGTCTTTCATATTGAAGGGCTGCTGTGGATAACCAAAGAACTGATTCTGGCATAATCTTCTCCTCCCGATGATCATCCTGTTTCTTGTTTTGTGGCACTGCGCATGGCTCCTTTTCCTGTATGCATAATTAATAAGGGGTATTAGCTGTAATTTATTAGAAGCTAAGGATTTTTTTATTTTTTATTTTTTTAAGATTACTGACTATGTTACAATACAGTAGTCAATACCGCCCCCATTGTCTTTACTAAGGGACGAATCCATGACCTCCCATTTGGGAGAGTCACTTCGTGCCACTAGACCACAAGGTTATTGGCAATTGACTCAACGGATAACATAAAATTAATTAAAAGCTGTTGAGATTAACAAGAACAAGAAAAATAATAATGACAGTAAAGGATAAATAAGACAAGATTTACGTGGATCGGCAATGTGTCTACATCCACGGGAGTGAAACTATTCTCTTATTATTTGTGATGGGGATAGTGGTGACCCCACCCTTTAGGGATACAACCAATATATTTATAGGCATCCAATCCCTATACAATAGGTCTACCCGTTTCACTCCTACTCCTAGTATGAGACAACCACTTATTCCTAATCCATATATGAGACAAACTCAACAATCTCCACCTTGACGAATATGTTCTTTAGGAGAAAAGATAACTCAACAAATCTCTACCTTGACGAATATGCTCTTTAGGAGAAAAGACTTATCTCACCATCTCCACCTTCACATATATGGCCTTTAGGATAAAAGACTATCTCCACCTTCGCAAATATGTCCTTTAGGAGAAAAAGATAACTCAACAAATCTCCACCTTAGCAAATATGTCCCTTAGGAGAAAAGACTTATCTCACCATCTCCACCTTCACAATTATGCCCTTTAAGAGAAAAAAACTTATCTCACATATACACATGGGTAGGAACAACCATGCTCATCCCAACTAGCCAGCCACGTGCATACGCAGCATCAAACGTTACCCAGTGCATGTACACGAACCGCTTTGTTCCAAGCCATTCGCCCCTCAGCCGTTGACCTGTTATACCGCCGCGACTCATGCTTACTGTCCCGTTTAGCTGACCTCCTGCATCCGGCTCATACCAAGTCCATGTCCCCTCCTGGTATCCACGCTCTGCCCCTAACACAACAGCGCCCCTGCAAAGTCACACTAAACTCGTGTGCCTTGCCTAATGCTCCACTAACCAGCAATTACCACTGGTCAGCAACACGCACCATGCAGCATCAAACGTTTCCCCGTGCATGTTCACGAACTGCTTCGTCCCAAGCAATCCGTAACACCAAGCCATATTAGCCCAGCTCATACCAGCCGTGACTCATGACAAGCCCGACTCATACCAGGTCCATATCCCCTCCTGGTATCCACGCTGTCCCTAACACAACAGCGCCCCTCACCACCTTCTCATCTAGCATCTAGAAATGCCCAACAAGTCCAAACAATGTTCGAACTTGTTACTAGTTACCGCTAGAACCTCACCTTTACTATAATAAGAGTCATCAGCTTGAACCATGTTCATAGCTTCCGGCTTCTTCAACTCCTTCCAATCAGCCTCTTCCAGATTTGCTGAATTTTCTGCCCTCAAGGTTTTCAGAAGGCCCTGATATGCCAACAAATCCTTTACCCTAGACCGCCATAACCCAAAATTCCCTATACCATCAAACTTTGATACCTTGAATTTTATACTTGAACGGACCATCTCAACAGTGCTCTGATACCAATTTGTTGAGATTAACAGGAACAATAAAAAATAATAATGGCAGAAAGGGTAAAGAAGACAAGATTTACGTGGTTCGGCAAAGTGCCTACATCCACGGGAGTGAAACAATACTCTTATTCCTTATAGTGATGGTGATAGTGGTGACACAACCCTATATAGGCATCCAATCCCTATACAATAGGTCTACCCGTTTCACTCCTACTCCTAGTATGAGACAAACACTTATTCCTAATCCATATATGAGACAAACTCAACAATCTCCACCTTGGCGAATATGTTCTTTAGGAGAAAAGATAACTCAACAAATCTCCACCTTGACGAATATGCTCTTTAGGAGAAAAGACTTATCTCACCATCTCCACCTTCACATATATGCCCCTTAGGAGAAAATACTATCTCCACCTTCGCAAATATGTCCTTTAGGAGAAAAAGATAACTCAACAAATCTCCACCTTAGCAAATATGTCCCTTAGGAGAAAAGACTTATCTCACCATCTCCACCTTCACAATTATGCCCCTTAGGAGAAAAAAACTTATCTCACATATACACATGGGTAGGAACAACCATGCTCATCCCAACTAGCCAGCCGCATGCATATGCAGCATCAAACGTTACCCAGTGCATGTACACGAACCGCTTTGTTCCAAGCCATTCGCCCCTCAGCCGTCGACCTGTTATACCGCCGCGACTCATGCTAACTGCCCCGTTCAGCTGACTTCCTGCATCCGGCCCATACCAGGTCCATATCCCCTCCTGGTATCCACGCTGCCCCAACACAACAGCGCCCCTGCAAAGTCACACTAAACCCGTGTGCCTTGCCCAATGCTCCACTAACCAGCAATTACCACTGGCCAGCAACACGCACAACGCAGCATCAAACGCTTCCCAGTGCATGTTCACGAACTTCTTCGTCCTCCCGAGAAGTCCTCCCATACCAGTCGTGACTAGGGGTGGAAATAGGCCAGGCCCCTTTGTAGGGGCCTATGGCCTGGCCTGTTTAGGGCTTGGTTAGGCCTGGCCTATTTAATAAATAGGCCAGGCTTAGGCCCAATTTAAGGCCTATATGAATAAGGCCAAGCCTGTTTATATATATATATATATATATATATATATATATATATATATATATATATATATATATATATATATATATACATGTTTTTATATAACTCTACTTATATATGTAAACCCTACAGATTCCTTCCACTCCCTACTTATATATGTAAACCGTCGCTCCCTTTACCTTTCCTTCCATCTGCTTGACCAAGCCTACAGATCCCCTCCCTTTCCCTTTCCTTCCCGGACCAAGCCTACAGATACGTTCAAGGTTTCATTAACGATGCTTCTGCTCCGTCTCGGCGTCTCCCACCTGTCCTTCTTCTCCGCCGCTGGTTCTGGCTTTGTTCGTGATTGGAGACTCCTCTGTCGACAGTGGAAACCACACTTTTCGACACTCGCCAAGTCTCCAACCTACTGGCCGCTTCTGTAACGAAAGAATCCTTGTAGATTATCTTGGTAATTACTTCTCTAGTTTCTTTAGTTTTTTCGATCTTAGAGCACAAATGAAATTTCACATTATTTATTGGTTAAAATTTTAGTGACTATTTAATTTTTTTCACTGTAATTTTATTGGTAATTTTGGGGTGTTTTGGATCTTTGACTCTTTGTTTTGCATTTTGGCGTATGTAGATTTAATTGTTAAGGATTCTATTTTTGCGTAGATCATCTGGAGAGGGTGAAGATGGATTAGCCTAACCGAATTGTTAATGACTTCCAATTTTGCAGGTTCGTTGCTTAATGAAGTCTAATCGTTAGCATTTTGCTTACTTCTGAAGGGCTTATAAATTGAAACTTTGGGTCTAGTGTTGTTCATTGTATTTTCAGGAGTATACATTTCTTTTAGTACCTAGATGGCAGTAGATAAATGTGGATTATAAACCTGTACTGAATATATAATGTTGGTTGTGTTAGCATGAATATTCAGAAATTAAAAGCAATTTGATATGCTTTTGCAGAGTGTGTTGGATGGGTATAATGGGACAGTAATGGCTAAAGATGATGTGATTAAGGGTGGCATCATGGCTAGAGCATTGGAAGACATAATTGTTAATACATCTCCTGAGACTGACAGTGTGGAAATTTCCTATCTTCAGGTAATTGAAATCAACTCGTAACAATGAAAATTATGGTGAATGAGAATATTTTTGTTGTACTGTATCAAGTTTTTGTTAACTGAAAATCTCATTGTTCAATCAGTTGTACATGGAATCCATACAAGATTTGCTTGGTCATGAAAAGATAAAATCTCAATTGTTGAGGATGCAAAGACTGGACAAGTATTAGTACCTGGTGCCACTTCGGTTAAAATTCAGGATCTTCACCATTTCGAGCAGCTATTGCAAACTGGAGAAGCTAATCGTTATGCTGCTTTATATAATTTATTATAATTTGAACACAAGTAATTTTGTTCAAATAATCGATGAAGTAATTATATCCAATTGAGTTTGTATGGTGTTTTTTCCCAAGTAGTAGTGGTGGCTTCTATTTTTAATCCATTACTAATTATGGTCAAAGAAAATGTAAGAGCACTACAATGATATATATGATTTTTTCGATTACAGTTAGTTTTAATTTGCTTTTAGTTTCTGAAATGTCTTTCTGTATTCATCCGAACTACCTGATCTAGTTTAGTATAATAGTATGTACATGATAAACTAGATCAAAAGAACAAATTTGATAATAGGCCAGGCATGAAGCCTTTTTAATGGCCTACATATTAAATAGGCTTTTAAAAAGGCTTTAGGCCAGGCCAGGCCTATTGTAGGCTCAGGCTTGAGCCTAAAAAAAAGCCTATTACAGGCTCAGGCCCAGGCTCAGGCCTAAGATTTTTATAACAGGCTTAGGCCTATTTTTCTAAAGCCTGGCTCGGCCTGGCCTATTTCCACCCCTAGTCGTGACTTATGCCAAGTCCGGCCCATACCAGTGCCATACTGGCCCATACCGATACAATATTGACCCATATTGATACCAGGTCCACGACCCCTCCTGGTATCCGCGCTGCCCAACACTACAGCGCCCCTCACCAACTTCTCATCTAGCATCTAGAAACACCCAACAAATCCAAACAATGTTCAAACTTGTTACTAGTTACCGCTAGAACATCACCTTCACTATAATAAGAATCATCAGCATGTACCACGTCCGTAGCTTCCTGCTTCTTCAACTAGATTTGCTGGATTTTCCGCCCTCAAGGTTTTCAGAAGGCCCAGATATGCCAACAAATCCTTTCCTTTACTCTAGAACGTCATAACCCAAAATTCCCTATACCATCAAACTTTGATACCTCGAATTTTGTACTTGAACTGGCCATCTCAACAATGCTCTGATACCAATTTGTTGAGATTAACAAGCTAAGAACAAGAAAAATAATAATGGCAGAAAGGATAAAGAAGACAAGATTTACGTGGTTCGGCAATATGCCTACGTCCACGGGAGTGAAACAATACTCTTATTCATAATGATGGTGATAGTGGTGACACCACCCTTTAGGGATACAACCAATATATTTATAGGCATCCAATCCCTATACAATAGGTCTACCCGTTTCACTCCTACTCCTAGTATGAGACAACCACTTATTCCTAATCCATATATGAGACAAACTCAACAAAAGCAATTAAGCAAGCATTCTAAAAAGTTTAGCTCCGAGGTAACCCCTGCTAAGATGGTTAGGGATACACATTGTAATCTAGTTCAAATCCAATTCTCTTGGTTTGAGCCGATTAACTATGGACAACCTAGGCTGGTTTACTTTCTTGTGGTCCTTTACCAGCTAAGATCACAAGCAATCCTCGAATAATAGCTGTGTGTTTCCCTGGTCACCGAAAAAGCTCGGCTCCATTACATTATTATATTATTTCTGGATTACCTACTATACGTACCTCATCAATCCATAGGTAGTCATCAGCTGCATTATCCTGAGATTTGCACAATAATGTGTTTCCAGCCATTGCGGCTAAATGCAAAATGTTGTTGTTGTTATCGTCAAGAAGGAGAGTCATGATATCTTTATAGCCTGTTTTATTGCATATATAACTCACAACATTCTGTTGTCGGTATAACACAGCAACATGGAGGATAGTCTGCCCGCTTTTATTGCGCTCACAAAACAGATCAGGCTTACTCTCAAGAATCATGTCAAGAAACCCAACATTCCCCTCTTTTGCAGCGTAGTGAAGTATCTCATATTCATGCGTAATTACTTCTCTAAACTCATAATCAGCTAGGTTACGATACTCTTCCCAAATAATGCCAAGTAACTCTCCCGCTTCTGTCTTTGCTAAACGTTCTTCTTCAATTCCATTGTGCACTATAATTAAAAGCTAAGTAGTATAAATTCATATGTTGTATAATGCATGTATTTTTGAGACACCATTTAAATTAATTAAAGAGCTGAGTTATTTCCAAATTTAGTCCTGCCTCTAACTGTCAATCACTTCTAATTTTTGTCATTGACTTTTAAATCTACCAAATTTAGTTTTCGATTAATAAGTATTGAATCTTTTCCAATTTAATTTACTGTACCGTTAGTTTTTCCTAGCTAGTATGAATGATGAATCATTAACATTATTAAGGGTAAAAATTGGAAATTCATGACTATTGCTCCAATTGTATGTTTCTCCTACTTGGACAATAAAGTCTTAATATTCTTATTTTAGCAGCTCTATTTTTATTTATTTTTTTTTGAAAAAGCATCTCTAATTTAATCCTCAATACTAATAAATTAAAGGATTCACGACTAAATTAGTAAATTTGATAACTCTAAAAATTAATGACTAAAATTGAAAATAGTAATAGTGAGATGACTAAATTAAAAATTAAATACTTCCTCCGTCCCATTTTATCTATCTGGTTCGGTTAACGAGATTTCACTAAAGTTTTTTTCTAATCCAACTTTTCATAATATTAAGTTTACTATTAGTATACAAATTTTATATATTTAGAAACTACACTAAAAGTACTATTAAACACAAAAAAAATAAAAATAAAAATAAATAAAAAATACTAAAGAAAATAAACAAAGAAGAAAGAGTTGGTTTGACCAATAAATAGTAAGTATGACAGATAAAATGAGACAGAATATAAGAATCTTACAGAAACGCGTAGAGAAGAGTGCAGACGTTGAGCCAAAAAATCTTTGCCAAATTCCTGCTTCTTGTTTGTCACCACCGGTAGGTGCTATACGTTGTTTGTGAACTAACATATGCAAGAAGGATCGATTTCCTTTGAATTTAGTTAAGGCTAATGTTCTGTCCTCCTTTAAGATCTTTAATGCCACATCTGCAATTATATAGTCTTTATTTTGGGTAGTGAAGCTCGATCTAGAGCAGATGGATGGTTTTTTATTTACTACCTACTCCTAATAAGCACATTAAAGCAAACTAAAGAGATCATGTACAGGCCAAACACCTTATGCTCAGATGGCATGTAGTGACCTCTCTCATCGAGTCTCAGGAGACGTTGTTGACTCTTTGTGCGCCTCATTAGGTTGAGAAAAAGTATGTTTGAACAGATAATATAATGTAATAGAGTCTGTAGCTTTCAAAAAAAAAAGAGCCTGTACAGGCCAACCTCAACCAAGTTGGTCAGACCGGTGATTTAGTAATTACTCCGTATAATTCAATAGAGTAACCTATTGGCCTTCTTGTTTGAGATTGTCATCAGCTATAGCTAATTTAAGTTGATCAACTAGAGTCACAAAATATTTTCTTCGTCACTCAAAAAAAAACATGTAGATAGCATACCATGCATGTGGTTATAAATAGTAATTTTGAGAAGCTTAATGCGTTCCTGGCGCTCCAAGTACTCCTCCAAAGGTTTGACAGTGTAGAGGTAAGAAACCATATCCTTATGTCGTTGCAAAGCCGCCTGATGGATAGGGGTGATCTCACTGTACGACCGGATTCTTAGCAGCCTTTGATTCTTTTCTATCATACACTTAGCGTTTTCCACAACTCCAGATACAACCGCATTATAGAATGCAGTACATCCATAGTCATTTTTCTCTTCCAAATCTTCACTTGACTTTAGCATCTCCACTACCTTCCTTACAAATAATTTGTTTCCTCCCAAGGCTGCAACGTGAAGAACCGTGTCCTTTCTTGTTGTAATGCTATAACGAACGTAATTTGGTGTCTCACGTAGAATATCTTCTGCAGTTTTCCAGTCCCCATTTATGGCAGCGTGATACAGGTCTTTGCATTTTGCTGGAATAAAATCATTGTATTGTTAATTAGTAGATCGGAGATCCAAAATAATATTCATAAGTTTTCATGCATTATATGTAATTGTTTGGAGTTATATATATATAATTACCTTTTTGAAGATGAAGTTGTTGACGATAATGAAACAGAGGAAGAGGACGTGGAGGAAGGCGAGAAGGAGCAGGAGGAGAAGGTGGAGAAGGAGGAGAAGGTGGAGGATTTTCAACATCCATGTTGAAAACGTAGAATACGTACGTGTTAATTGAAATCTTCTTCACCAATTCTCACTGCAATTGTATGTCCATTTATCTAAACATCAAACTATATATCAAAGAAAGAAAACAATAAACGCCAATTATATATATATATATATATATATATATATATATATATATATATATATAGTGAGAAACTTAGCTTGTACCATCTAAATTTGTTTTATGCACAACTTGCACCACGTGCGTGATTAGATTTTATAGATGAGGGCATTCTAATTTTCTAATATATATCCATTGCTACCTCAGTTTACACCAGGTTTATTTAGCCGAATGAATTTTGAGGGAATAGAAATACTATTCTAGAGGGGATGTATAGTAATAGGTGATTAAGGAATAGAATAGAAATTATATTTTATTGTTTGGTTTTGTGAAATAGATTTTAGGAATGTTATTTCAGTGATTGGTTATTTAAGGAATATAATAGAATATATGTGTAAAAGACATAACTTTCCTTATATAAATATATAATAATAATAATAATAATAATAATAATAATATTATTATTATTATTATTATTATTATTATGATTTTTGTCCCTTTCTACAAACAAATCAGAATGTGGTTGTTTCACGACAAGGCGATGATGATGGAGGCAACTGTACATCGGAAGGTATACACGTTGTCCCGGTCAGCAATTAAGCGTCTACAGGCTAGTGACGGTCTTTCGAAAGCATCTAAAATCCTCATCTTGCCGTCTGATGATCATCACAATCAGCTATCTAAAGATCGTACGACAAGAGAGGCGTTTCGCAGAAACCCTACGTCTTCATCTCCCGTTCCTTTGCCGGCAATCCAACCGGCGGATCAACAATCAGGTGGCTGGGATGGAGTCAGGGAGGTGTCTAGGTCGTTCGCCACTGATCGGAGGTCATCTGCGGTTTCCGACAATCTAGACGAACCTTCGTCAATGGCGACTTTGTCGGGACAGGGCCGTAGCATATATGAATGATCGGAGGGCTTGGTTGGTGCTAGATTTGCATTTCATTCTCTTTGGTGCTAGATTTGCACTTAATTCTCTTTGGAAAGATGCCAGGAAAGCTGATTCGTCCAAATGTAACATTTGTCTGACGATATATTTCCTAGCATCATACACTGTTCATTTTGATCATAAACTTTGCAACTGTCTTTGGAGAATTTTACTTGAAGATTGTCATCACATAGTTGTCTAATGCTAATTAGATTTGCTTTATGTCCTTTTACCAAGAAGACTTGACTGAGTCTTGGTAAACCAAGTACATTTAGAGTCCCACTTCCAATGATTTGACCCTTTCTTCCATCTCCAAATGTCACATGTCCTCCTTCTTTTGGTTGAATATTACTGAGGTGTTCTGGTTTCCCTGTCATGTAACGTGAGCATCCGTTGTCAAAATACCATATTTCTGTATTCCTTTCTGTTCTGGAGGTAAGAGCAACTGTTTGTGGTTGGTATTTTCTGACCTATATTTTTCTGCTCCTTGTTTGCCTTCTCATGAGGTGATTTTGTCTAAGCCAGCAGTATGCTTTAATATAACCAGGTTTGTGACAGTAATAGCATCTAACCCTTCGATCTTGTAAGTGGTGTTGCAACATCTCTGGGTTTTCTGTATGTCTATTATCAGTGTTTTTTCTGTTTTTTGCAAATTTTCTTCAGTGTATTTCTGTTTTTTCTGTTTGATTGCTGCAGTGTATATGCTTCGAATAGTTCTTGTATGTCCGCTTGAGAGGTATTTTCCTCTTCGTGCCTGATAGTGAAAGCAACAAAGTTGGAATTTTCATTCTCACTGTTGGAGTCGTCACTAAGTGTTGTGATATAGGTTCTATTCTTCCTTTTCAGGTATGTTGGATATTCTTATGGGATGTGTCCGTACCCTTTGCATTCGAAGCATTGTATCCCTTTGGTATTTTGAGGATTTTTTTTTGTGTGTTTTCAAATGTGCGTGACTGAGAATTCGAGTTGTGTCCGTTATTATTTGAGAAGTTCTTATTTTTATTCCTAAATTTGTTGAATTTTTTAACCACTTTATTGAAATTCTTGGTGAGCAACGCGATAGATTCCTCCATGCTTTGTGTGTCATCATCTGAATCTACATTTTGTTTTGTTTGAAGAGCTAATCCTTTATTTGACACGTTTGGTTTCCTTGTAGCATCTCAAGTTCGTATGTTTGAAGATTTTCCATTAGATCACTGAGTTTGTATGTGTCTAGGTTTGTGTTTTCCTGAATGGCTGTGACTTTCATGAGAAACTTTTCGGGCAGTGATCTGAGTACCTTCTTAACCAATTTTGGTTCGGGAAAAGGTTCTCCTAGATTGTATGCGACTTCGGCTATATCTAGGATTTTTGCATTGAATTGTGTGATGTTTTCGTCTTCTTCCATCTTTAGAGTTTCGAATTGTGTGTGAATCATCTGCAATTTTGATTGTTTGACAATGGTGTTGCCTTCGTGATGATTACATAAGATTTCCTAGGTTGTTTTGGTTATTTCAGTGTTAGATATCAATTTGAATGTTTCTTCACTTACTGCCCCATATATAGAGTTCATGGCTTTTAAATTGTAGTTAGCTTCTTTGATTTCTTCCTCAGATCATTCCTTGTTCAGTTTCTTTTGAGACCACGGTTAAAAATCGTTGTCTATTTTACAATAGACAACAATTTGAAACTGTTGTCTTTGCTACAAAAGACAATAGTTTATCGGCGTGACTTTTAACAACAGCGATTTCAACAACACACAATAAACAACAGTTTATAACTGTTGTCTTTTAAAGAAAAGACAACAGTTAAAAAACCGTTGTCTATGTGCATCACTTATAACAACACCGGTTTCAACAACATTGAATAGACAACGGGTCAAAAACCGTTGTCGTTGATAGAAAAGACAACGGTTTATAACTGTTGTCTATGTGTGTGACTTTTAACAACACCGGTTTCAACAACATTGAATAGACAACGGGTCAAAAACCATTGTCGTTGATAGAAAAGACAACGGTTTATAGCCGTTGTCTATGTGTGTGACTTTTAACAACACCGGTTTCAACAACACTTAATACACAACGGTTAAAAAACCGTTGTCGTTTATAGAAAAGACAACGGTTAAAAACCGTTGTCTATGTGTTTGACTTTTAACAACACCGGTTTCAACAACACTTAATAGACAACGGTTCGAAAACCGTTGTCGTTTCAAGAAAAGACAACGGTTAAAAACTGTTGTCTATGTGTGTGACTTTTAACAACACCGGTTTCAACAACACTTAATAGACAACGGTTCGGAAACCGTTGTTGTTTCAAGAAAAGACAACGGTTTTTAACCGTTGTCTATGTGCGTGACTTTTAACAACACCGGTTTCAAAAACACTTAATAGACAACGGTTCAAAAACCGTTGTCGTTTCAAGAAAAAGACAACGATTTTTAACCGTTGTCTATGTGCGTGACTTTTAACAACACCGGTTTCAACAACACTTAATAGACAACGGTTAGAAAACCGTTATCGTTTCTAGAAAAGACAACGGTTTAAAACCGTTGTCTATGTGCGTGACTTTTAACAACACTGATTTCAACAACACTTAATAGACAACGGTTGAAAAACCGTTGTCGTTTCTAGAAAAGACAGCGGTTAAAATCCGTTGTCTATGCGTGTGACCTACAACAACACCGGCTTCAACAACAGAAGTTTTACCCTACGACAACGGTTATTAACCGTTGTCTATGTGCATTTTTTTCTTGTAGTGTTTCATTAGTAGGTGGTTTCCATCCTTCTTCTACAGCTCTCCACACTCTCTCACCTTGAGACATAATGCAAACTCTCATTCTAGTCTTCCAATAGGAATAGTACAATTCAGGGTTGGATGTCTGTTATTAGATAAGTCTTCTCTGGGAAAATCCATTGTGTCGTTCCTCTGAATGGTGTAGGATCCTGCTAGTAATTTTAGCAATCTGGCCACTCTGATACTTGAAGAATTTAAGATCGACACAGTGATGTTAGAACGTTAGATAGGATCGACACAGTGGTGTTAGAACGTTAGATGTAACACAGAGAAATTTTAACGCAGTTCGGGCAAAACACCCTAATCTGCGAGGCACTTCTCGTATTGAGAATTAGCCTAAATCCACATGACCTCCTACGTGGGAGAGGTCACTACATGTCATCTGAGCACAAGGTTCTTGACACTTTTTCGAGTATTTAACAACATATATGTGTATATAAATTAAAATTCCATATTTAATGCATGAACAATGACTTTTTTTTTTCATTTTTTTCTCTTTTATTTTTGATTCCATTTCAAAAGTAGATGAGTAAAAGGGTAATTAGTTTTGTAATTACTAAAGGATTTGATTCCAATAGTAAGATAATGAGAATCAAATCTCATAACACGGTGCAAAAGTCCCTAACCAAACAACCCCTTAATTTTCATTATAAAGATAAGTCAAGTTTTTTTTTTTTTTTTTTTAGTATAGAGATAAGTCAAGTTTAATTATTCACCTCCTACATATATTTTGGGATGGAGGAGTAACATTTAAAAAAAAAAAAAAAAAAAAAAAAAAAAAAAAAAAAAAAAAAAAAAAACTACGAATTGATTTTTAACTTTTTTGCTGCTGATCGATGACGTAGAGTTGAACACTTACATATTTTTCTTCTTTGTTGTTTGTGTGTGTGTTTTTAAAAAAAATTATTTGTGGTTTTATTCATTATTATATGCTTTTTCGTCTAATGTCATCCGGGTTGGACTCCCATATGAGAGGTTGTGAGTTTAAGTCTTATTGGAGGCAAAGTTGAGAAAGTAGTTATGAATAGATACTATATTTTAATAGAGTTAGTAGCATTCAAAAAAATATGTCTTTTCGTTTTCTTTATTTTCTCTATTTGCTAGGACTATAGTAATCAATTATTTATGTAAGCACATTAACCCCTCAATTATTCTAAAAGTGGTTGTTTTCTCTCTTGATATATTAAATTGACACTTTTACCCTTAAAGTAAACATTTTATTTATTTTTCATCAACAACAAATTATTCCTTATACGTAGGGATGACCACGGTTCAGTTTGAACTGAACCGGACACTATATCAATCGAATTGAAAGTTTGCGGTTATGATTCAGATCTAGAACTCAATATTTAGATTTCAGTTTATTAAAATTATGAATCGAAAAAACTGGATCATGAACCGTGAACCGGCGATTCTGGATCCGGTTTGTGATTTTGAACCGTCTTTATTATTTTTTTTTTTTGAAAGGAGCCTGTACGGCATTTATTGAAAATATGCAGAAATAGATGCTGGCGGATCATAATCCGAGTACATACTAGTTGTCTGAGTAAAAGCAGTAGATGCTAAAGTATGAGCTAAATAATTATCTAGTCTAGGAACATACTGAAGTAAACAATAATCAAAAGACGACATAATAGTCCTGCAACTATCAACGGCATATCCCAAGTACGATCTTGACGAGTGCGTCGTAGATGATAGGTATTGTTGTAGTACCAAACAATCCGTGAAGAGGTCGATAGATTGTATTCCGCGGTTTCTTAGCCACGACAAAACTTCCTTGCATGCATTGGCTTCCGCCATTAGTGGTGAGAAACAATTTATCATTGGGGCAGTCATAGCCGAAATATAATGTCCTTGCCAATTTAGAATAATAGCTCCTACCGCTGCTTTGTTCGTGTGTGGGTCGTATGCCGCATCGAAGTAACATTGATTCCTTATATGTGGTGTGGGTTGGGAGTCCATAATCGGCGCTGGCAGCTCTGCAGTAATAACGCGATTTGCCGTGGGGTTCGGCGTAGCTACGTGGCTGTCGACCACGGTGGCAGTCCGGTTGGACGATGCTGCCACAGTGGCAGTCCGGCTGGGTGCCGCTGAGGAAGTGGCCAGTACTTGCAGTCCAGGATGGGCTTGTTTCCAAGAATTCACAGCTGATGATGCCATTGCAATTATTTTCTGAGGCCTGGGTAAGACTGCCTCCCATACAGCCCCATTCCTTGCCCGCCAAATATAGTATAAGAGTGCCACTGCATAAATAATTCCATCATTATCTAAAGTATTCATCAAATCATTAAACCAATCACTGAAAATATTTGTGACACTATTTGGGATTGGAAGGTGGAATTGTGCCCAAATGTTTGTCGAATAATCACATGTGATCAACGAATGCACAATATCTTCATGCCCAATTCCACACATGGCACATGTTGGATCAATATCAACTCTCTTTATAAGTAAATTCTTCGTAGTGGGCAAAATATCATGTAAAGCTCTCCACATAAATGTTTTCCACCTTGGGGGGGCTTTAAGCTTCCATAATACTTTCCATTTATCAAAGGTCCCAACCGTTTGAGTGTAGTTACCCACGATTGTTCTATAACCATTTTTCACCGAATATTCACCTTTTGGGTCCCCATACCAATACCACAAATCCTCATAATCTGGTGACACAGGTATTTTTAGAACTTGCTCTACATCCCCAGGATCCAAAATATCAGCTAGTATCTCTTGGTCCCAGGTACCTGTCTGTTGGTCCATCAGTCCCATCACCTTTGCCTGTGCCAATTGGGGTGGTTTTTCTGTTACAATTTTCGGGTGACTCATATCCTGTAACCATGGGTGTTCCCAAATCAAAGTTGATTTGCCATCCCCAATCCTGCGCCTAACCCCTCCACAAATTAAATCCTGTGCTGCCAAAATACTTCGCCAACAAAAACTTGGGTTATTCCCCAAGCATGCTTCATAGAAAGAATTGGTGGGATAGTACCTGGCCTTATACACTCTTGAGACCAACGAATGAGGCTGTGTCAGAAAGTGCCACGCTTGCTTGCCCAACATTGCAAGGTTAAAGGCACGTAGCTCTTTGAACCCCAATCCTCCATATTCCTTTGGGATACACAGTTTATCCCAAGCTTTCCAATGAATACCCTGGTCATCTCTCGCTCTCCACCAGTATCGATTCATGGTTCGTTCAATGGCAGTACACAGAGTCATAGGGAGTAGAAAAACGCTCATTGAAAAGGTAGGCATAGACTGAGCCACACTTTTCAATAAAACTTCCTTTCCTGCCTGTGACAAAAGTTTCTTATTCCACGAGTTAATCCTCTGCCTTATCTTATCTTCAATATATGAAAATGCTACCTTTCTATTCCTGCCCACAAATGATGGAAGCCCCAAGTATTTTCCAAAATTCTGAGCCTGCACTACTCCCAACATATCAGCAATCTCCTCTCTTATTTCAGCACGAGTATTCTTGCTATAACAAATGTTTGATTTGTGATAGTTAACTGCCTGGCCAGACATTTTTTCATATTCCGACAAACACCGTTTTACCACACCGGCCTCTTGAGTATTTGCTTTGAAAAAAAAGCAGACTATCATCAGCAAAGAATAGATGAGTAATTGAGGGAGCTCCTCTTGCCACTCTACATCCATGTATCTCCCCTTTTGCCTGTGCCTGTTGTAATAATATTGAAAGTCCCTCAGCACAAATAATAAACAAATAAGGTGAGAGGGGATCACCTTGCCTTAAACCACGAGTCGGGGTTATTTCATCAGTCTTCGAACCGTTTACCATTACACTGTAAGATACAGTGGTTACACACATCATCAGTAACTCTATCCATCTTTCATCAAATCCCAGTGCCCTTAGCATCCTTTCCAAAAAAGCCCATTCCATACGGTCATAAGCCTTCGCCATATCTAGCTTTAAAGCTCCCCAACCTGTTAGCCCACACTGCTTCCTGTTCAAAAAATGGCCAACTTCCGCAGCTATCAAGATATTATCTGTAATTAGTCTTCCAGATATAAATGCACTCTGGGATTCTGATATAATACTCTCCATTAATGGTTTCATCCTGGCTGTAATTACCTTTGCCATAACTCTGTAAACGACATTACTCAAAGCAATTGGTCTATAATCAGAAACCATTTCCGGGGTTTTCTTCTTGGGAATCAAGATAATATTCGTTTCATTTAACTTATCAGGCATTGAGCAAGTATTCAAACAATTCAGAATATAAGAGGAAACATCAGTACCCACTACATCGCAAAAGTGCTGATAAAAACCAGGGTTCATACCATCCGGCCCTGGTGCTTTATCAGGATACATCGAAAACAATGCAGTTTTAACCTCCTTTTCTTCAAAGGGGCGCAGTAAATTCTCATTCTGTATGCCTGTCACACGTGAGTGTATACTCCCAAAGAACTCATCATCAATAGCAGGAGTACTCGAGTTAAAAATTCCACGATAATAATCCATGATTACATTTGTCATGGCATCCCCCTCAATCCAATCCCCATCAGTATTCATAATTTTAGTAATAGCATTCTTTTTCTTTCGATGAGAAGCATACCTGTGATAAAATCTGGTGTTTGAATCCGCATCCTTGAGCCAATGCTGTTTGGCCCTCTGCCTCCAGTACGTATCCTCTTGTAGCTCAACATGAGCCAAACATTCATCTAGTCTCCGAAATTCAGCTAGGGATGTTGAATCTGTACATCCCCTTAGGCGCATTTGTTCCTTTCGTAATTTCATTATTTTTTCGCCAAACTTATGGAATCGGTCTCCACCCCAGCGTGTTAACCGATCACCACATAGAGCAACACACTCCTGCAACCCCCTGACTCTTCCCTCGCCCCATGATTTCTCCACCACCTCCCTACACCCCTCATCATGTAGCCATGCCATCTCAAAACGAAAACCCTTTCTTCGAACACCCGTCCTTCCCCGAAGATTGAGAATCCCAAGGAAAAGGAAGGAATGATCTGATTTTCGGGTTAATATATTCTGTACATTTGCATCAATCACCAAGTCTCTCCAGGTTTGAGTAGCCAAAACCTTATCTAGTCTTTCCTCTATCCAGTTCGGTGTGCCTTTACCTTTTTCCCAAGTGTAGGGATATCCAGACATTGGCAACTGCGTCAAACCACACTCTTCAATTGTTCCTCCAAACCCCCGTAGCAAACTGTCTGGATGGGGATTTCCTCCCCGTTTCTCATACTGATATAAGAGATCGTTAAAATCTCCAATAATCACCCATGGCAGATCCGATCTACTAGCCAACGATCGAATAAGGTCCCACGACTCCCTTCTCTGCGGACGCTTCGAGAAGCCATAAAACCCAGTCATCCTCCACTTAGCAAACCCTGGCACACTCACCTCCACATCTATGTGATTATTTGAATAACCCATTATTCTTGCAATATCATTCGTTCTCCACAACAATGCCAGTCCTCCACTCAATCCAGAATTATCCACATTAAAAAGGCCTTCGAAACCCAGCTTAATCCGAAGTCGCTCTGCATGATCTCGGTTAACCTTGGTTTCTATCAGAAATACAAAATCGGGTTTCTTGCGGGACACTACGTCCTCAATCTCCCGAACTGTCCGTGGATTACCCAAGCCACGGCAGTTCCAGCTCAATGTACTCATTGGGTCGGGCGGGTCTGCACCGCAGCACCCGCCATCTACAAGTTTTTTTGAACATCGGACATTGCTATATCCTCTCCCATCACCACTCCCTCCCTCACCCGATTTCCCCCACCACCCTCAATCCCAGAATTTGCCAAACGTGAGTTGCCTGGCTCAATATTCACCCCCACTTCCACTCCACCACCAACCTCCCCATCGACTCTACGCCTCTTCGGGTCCACCCTAACTCCCTCTTCCTCCCCCATTACCCCCTTCTCTCTCGCCATCCCCTCCTGATCATCACCATTCTCCCTCACGTCATTACCCACCGCAACCCTCCCTCTCACTCCAGCAGTAGCCAGCCCACTCATGACTACCGTACCGTGTCCGTAACCCCCTACACCAAACCCAATTTCTTTCCTTCGTTCTTGCCCCATTTTAAACCATTTATCACCCAATGTCTTGGCCGGATTATTACCGCCCGCTCTCATAGCCGCACCAAATAAATATTGATCCGGTGTTAATAACGAACGACGAGCAGCTAAACAGAATTTATCAGTATGCCCCATCACACCACAAAAAAAGCAGAACATATGCAACCGTTCGTACTTGAAATTTACCCAGACCCACGTTCCATCCCTCATAATCATCTTCATGCGTCGTTTCAACGGGACCGAAACATCATGTGTTATACGTATTCGATAGAATGAAGTCCACGACCTTTCAAAATTACGTTCATCACAACGTAAAAACACTCCCGCAAAATCCCCGATCCGCTCAAGCACTTTTACAGTTCGGTATCCCAATGGAATATCATAAACCTGCAGCCAGAAATCCACCGTGTTGAGTACTACCTGCGTCGGATCTTCCCCATCATTCAGCACCTGGCAAAGAAACGTTGCGTTTTCAAACGCCCAAGGACCTTCCTCCAACACCCGACGCAAGTCCGTCTCGTCAAAGAATGTAAAGAGATATAAGTTCGGACTAACATCCGTAATCTCAATTCCCATCAATGGCCGCCATGCCGAGGCCATAACCCGTTTCATCACCTCCACCTTCAGAATTCGGTCAGTTAGGAATCTGCCGACTAACGTCCATGTGTGACGTTCTTGTTGTGGAACCGCAATCGTATCTCCTTCGTCCTCAAACCGTACGCCCAGTTCCTCGTCATCCAGGCTCATTCCCGCAGTCGATGCAGTGCTGTCTCTTACATCCATGGCTTTTTCGCCGGTGTTCGACCGGACTAACGCAGCAAGAAAACCGTCGGAACCCTAGATCTCAGGGGGGTAGGGAGGAAACCCTAGTTTTCAGGGAGAGCTTCAGTTATTAATTAAACAAGACGAATATATAAAAAATTATGTATCACATGCATGCCTGTGGATCTTCATCAAATTAGACAGTTAATGTTTTGAAAGGCAAAACTAAATGAACGTGCAGGGAAAATATTGGAACAATTAACAATACCACATTATCATATATTTTATACTCCGTAACATGTTGGAACAATTTGGGCTTATGGCGTCCCTTGTAAGGCTTCGTGCCTCTTTTTGGTGTGGTATAAAGTTCTTGTTAAAAAAAAAAGAAAAAAAAAAAAAAAAAAAAAAAAAAAAAAACTATGTAGGAACTAGGAAGTTGGAACATCCGGACTCCCGAGCTAACAACAAAGAAACCGTTATGCTAGAGTAGAGGTGTCAAACGGGTCAGTTTGAGCTGACCTGATCCAGTCCGACACTAACATGTTACATGTTTATTATTATTATTATTATTATTATTATTATTATTATTATTATTTTGGATAGAGCTGTCTCGATCCAATTAAAGAAAAAAAATAAAAATTAAAGCTAATTCTATCTGGTTCATAGGCCTAAAAGTAAAAAATAAAAAATATTAAAAATTATATATCGACTAATTTAAGATATGTATTCCTTCTAAATTAGTTTTACAAAATTCACATATTTAGAAAATATCTTCCAGTTAAAAATTTTAAGAAGACATTTTTTTTATCAAATTGGACCTTTTTTCGATTGACCAAAATGATAATTTTCTTTTAATTTTATTTTCTTTTAGTTGTAAAATACAAAAAGAATTCAAAAAATGACTTTCCAAATGTTTCTAAACAGACCCTTAAAAAGGGATCTTAGAGCAATTTGATCTTCTATCATAGAAAGGGAATCCCAAGTGTTCAAAAATTGACCGTGTGCTACTCCGTATAAATTACGGTGATTGCCCAATGATTTATCACGAGAGCTTGATTATAGCTCGGATCTGAGCTTTCAGCTTGAAATAATATTGAGTTAATACCCAAAATCGTCCTCGACTATAGTGGTTTTTCTCAATTTCGTCCTAAACGACTTTGGTGACCTAATATCGTCCCAGACTTTTGTGTTTCGCTCAATTGGGAAGAATTAAGGGCCGTCACTATGGCGAAGATGGCTCGACCGGCGGAGGACATATTTCTTAGCTACACTACAAGATTGACATAGATGCTTGAAAGTTTCAACCCACAGACAACCCTTAGACTATTGCCCCCCTCCCCCCACCCACCCACCCACCCACCCATCCTGTGAAGGTTTACTTTCCCGAGTCGTCGCCTTGCTGAACCTCGGGAAAGTGAGGGACTAGTAATAAATACTCCTGAGCAGGGTACCCAATCAGTAGCATGTCTCAGTGCTCAAAGTTTGCAGCTTGACCATGCTACCGAGAAGATTGGAGGGCCTTAGCAGCCAGGTTAGGCGTTGGATCTGTTTGGGCTAGGCCGGCGTAGGCTGTTGGGTTGGTTTGCCGGACCGGGTGCCGTGCCCAAAGGCGGTTAGAGAAGATTGTCAAGGAATTTCATGTAGATTATGGGCGAGATTTCTCTTTTTAGTATTAGAAAATAACTATGACAGTTTAGTAAGCTTTCCTAAGAACAAATTTGTTAACTCTTTTTTTTCCTTTCCAAGGCATGTAAATCTTGTAGAAATAGCCCTAGAGACACATTGAAAGAGGTTCAGAATCCGATTCTCTTGCAATTACTCCGTCAATTTTCACTCCATCTCTTTCCCTTAAATTGTTTTACGGTTGTGTTGGTCCGCTGTCTGACCACCTTGTGACCATAAATCCAACACATTGCATATATATAATGTAAAACACTATTATAAATTAAAGCACAAGATCAAAGGAGCTTATAAATTTATTTAATAAAAACCTAAATCTTTTTTTTTTTTTTAAGGAATTGAAGAAAAACCCTCAAATTCAATCCTATCTCGTAAATATCTCAACAACATAATTATCCTGGAAAGCAATCGAAGTGAAACTAGTAACGCAACACCGACGCAATAGTGTCAAACCAAAGCTTTGAATTTAGCAACAAAAACAACGCAACCGGTACACCCGCAAACGCAGCGATCAGACTTGTCTGCCATGCCTTCCCATACACCAGAAAGAAGGCGGCCGTGAAAGCAACCAGCATCCCACCTATCGAAACACACAGTGCCGCCAGTCCAAACAACAATCTACGCAGTGCCACACGAAAGTTATCTTCTGTGTAACGCAAAATCAGGATGGACAAGAATGTTACAATTGACAGCATCGAGCTGATCATCGCCACCACATCCGATATTGTGAAAATGCTAAAAGTTGTTTGTGCTATGAATATCGGAGTTCCTGTGCCGTCTTCGTTGCCGCCCGGTAAGGTGAAGGCGGCGGCAAATGCAACTGTGGCGATTAGCGTCGCCACCAGCATGCATGAGTTTGCAGTGTCTCTAATGGACTTTTCACCCTCTATCTTTAACACCATGTGCTCTTTCGAAAACAATTGCTTTGCGGTTTTGTCATCGTTATTTCTCATGTTGTGAAGTGATGATGGCACAATCTTCTCAACCTCCTGGCATCCATAGCATGGACAATAATAACTATGAAATTAAAGATGCATTTACTGAGGAAAATTGAAACAAAGCAAAGTAAGCCTTAAACTTTTAATTGAAAGATGTTGTTCTTACATTAAACCATGAGATCTCTCTTTCAAATTGAAGGGCAGCTGTGGATAGTTGCAGAAGTGATTGTGGCATAATCTTCTCTTCCTCCCGTTTGCCCAACATAATAAGTAGTTGCTATTTACGGAGTAATAGATGGAATTTAGAATAATAATAGTATATAATTATATTCTTGGTTGATTTAGAAAACAAAAACGGTACACTTTGCACCATACCTGAAGCAATAATGAGTGATCGTGATCTTGATCTTGAGAAGGGGTGGTGCGGTTTGGCAATCCCAGAGTGGCTGCCAAATGCAAAACGTTGTTGCGGTCATCATCTTCGAGGAGAATGATGAAATCTTTGTAACCTTGCATGTTGCATATAAGATGGACGACTTTCTTCTGTCGATATAACACAGCAACATGGAGAATGGTCTGTCCTTTTTTATTCAGCTCCCACAAGAGGTCTGGGTTGCTATTAAGAATAATATATAGAAACTCAACATTCCCCTCTCTTGCAGCATAGTGAAGTATCTCTTTACGCCTGATTAGCTCCAGAAACTCACCATCGCTTAAGGATGTACACTCTAACCAAATCTTTTCAAATAGCTTTCTGCCTTGCTCCTTGACCAAACACTTTTCTTTCATCCAATTTGAGACTATATATAATAAAAACACAAGCTTTAATTTTTACAATAATCCATGCATAATCCATTTCATTACATATTTAATTGGAATAAGGATCAAATAGGCCACTGAACTGCACACCAAAATGCAATTAGGCCATCGAACTCAAAAACAATGCAATTGGGTCCCTGAACTACACAAAATCATGCAATTAGGTTCAAAATGACTTGTTTACCTGAAATGCAGGTTACCTATTTTAAAAATAATTTATAAATATTTTTTAAAATAAAATAATTAATTAAAATTATATAATTTAAAAAAAAAAAAAAAAAAAAACGAAAACTAAAACTGTCTTTCGTCTCCATGGCCGGAGACGAAAGCTTCGTCTCCCTGGCCATGGAGACGAAGGCTTTGTTTCCATGGCCGGAGACGAAGCTTTCGTCTCCCTGGCCTAGGAGACGAAGCTTCGTCTCCCTGGCCATGGAGACGAAGGCTTCGTTTCCATGGCCGGAGACGAAGAGCTTCGTCTCCGGCCATGGAGACGAAGCTGCCGGAGACGATTCGTCTCCGGCAGTTCTAGTTTTTTTTTTTTTTAATTATAAATTAATTATTTTATTTTAAATTATATTTAAAATTTATTTTTAAAATTGATAACCGCCATGTCAGCACAATTTCAGGTCAACAGGTCATTTTGGACCTAATTGCATGAGTTTGTGTAGTTTAGGGATCCAATTGCATTATTTTTGAGTTCGATGACCTAATTGTACTTTAGTGTGCAGTTCAGTGGCCTATTTGACCCTTATTCCTATTTAATTTGATCCTAATATAAGTTATACCACAATGATATGATTCCCCTTTTATCAAACATGTAAAAAAAAATAATAATAAATAAATAAAAAGATTATTTGAACTATATATGCTGGCCTTACAAAGTGTGGGAAGCACATTAGAAGTTGCAAGAAGAAATGTTTCCATAATTCCTTCTCGGAGGCTCTCCTCAATACGCTTTCGAGCTAAAACGTCCAACAGTATTTGATTCCGATCTAACGTTGTCAGGGTCAAAGGTGTATATTGTGTTAACATCGTCGTTGCCACGTCTGCATTACAGGAAAACCAAGAAAGCAAAAACAAATTAAGAAGATGTGTTAGGATCAAGTGCTTACCACTCACATGCCCCTATCCAACAATCCCCCAACCACCTCTTCTATCGGCCCTGCCCAACAATTTACCCTTATCAAATTCGTGATTTAGCTCTGATACCATTTGTTAGTATCAAGCGCTTACCCCTCAAGCCAAAAGCTATAGCTAGTGGCAAATTATGCCATGGAAACTTGCCCACCTTGCAAGGTGGACACGATTCCAGACTCATAATTTTTCTAATTAAAAAAAAAAAGTATTGTTCACTTGTCGTTAATAGCGTTTTTCTCTTCACAATCGCATTGTTTCGTCTTCAGTATGAATCTACAGTGTAGAAATTATAAATCTAAAGTATAAAAATTATGAATCTACAGTATTAGGTCTGTGAACATGTGATAGAGCTATATGTTCATAATTTTATAAATATATGTTCATAATTATAGAGCTATATGTTCATAATTTTTTATATTCCCAATTGTTGAACTCTGTATTCACAAATCACAGAACTATATGTTCATAATTTGATAACTATACAGTTTAGAAATTATGAATCTACAGTACAGATATTATGAATCTGCAGTATATAAATTACGAATCTATGGTATAGAAATTATGAATCCACAATTTAAAAATTATGAATTTACACTTTGTAAGGTGGGCACGGTTCCACAGCATAACGTTCCATAGCTAGTACGGAAGACACAACTGAATTATTTTGTTACTTATAGTCCGCTATCATATTGTTTGAGACAGGCCCTGTGCTGGACTTGACCATTAAAACTTTACCCACCTCGGTCCAACAATCCCCAGTAACCAAGTACTAGACATGACCCCTTTACCGGCCTTGCCCAACAAGATGAGATAGCAAATATGATGTTAATTCAAAACAAATGTAATGCCGAAGACGTACCGTACATATTGTTCAGAATAGTGGCTTCCAAGAGCCAAATGATCTCCCAGTCTCCCAACTCGGAGAAGTCCGTGATGTCACAGAGGTATGCAACCATGGATTTATGCCCCATCACAACTGCGTGATGGATTGGCGTTTCACCCTTCTCATCCCGGATATTCCATAATTTCCCGTTCTTCTCGCTCATCACCCTAGCATTTTCTACCACTCCCGACATGGCTGCGTAACTAAAAGCTGTGCATCCCACATCATTCTTCACTTCCAAGTCTTCTGGTTCCAAAACGTGGACGAGCCGCCGCAGAAATTCTGTTCTTTTCGCCGCTGTGGCCAGGTGAAGCACTGTTTCTCCTTTTTTCGTAATCCTTTCGCGACAGTAATTCCGATTGCTTTTGAGAATTCGTTCGGCGGTGTTCCAGTCACCTTGAAGAGCCGCACGTTGGATCTGGAAATCCAGCGTGCGTGTTCTGTGACCTGAAAACAATAAAAAATATATATATATTCAAACTCCCTTTAAGCCCTTTAGCTAAAGCATCTGTTGGGTTGGCGTAACCTCAGTCAAGTTAGTAGACTTGAGGTTCCAAGTTTTGATTGTCTTAGTTTGAATCGATCAGCTACGACAACCTAGCTAAACTAGTTAACCTCTTTGTAGTCCTTTAAAATCACAAGGCCAGCTTTTTTCAGTGCAAACTCTCAGTAGTGGTCGCGGGTTTCCTCCTCACTTAAAAAAATAAATTCTAAGGTATCAATTTACACCAATGCGGACATTGCTATTACCAGCATGAAGTGGATTCTGAACATCAAAGTGAAAACTGCAACATGTTAATCTCTTCCCTGTATTACTTAAACTTGACATGGGAGAGCTTTGATCGATCTCTGAAAATAAAATAAATTAAAGAAGCTAAGGGGCGAGCTAAACGATACATATAAGTGAAGAGATCAATTGCAACTTAATACTGTAATTAACATATACATAATTGTTGTAAGAGTGAGACATACCCTGTGAAAGTTCCCCTGGCCTGCTGGTAATATGTAATAATTCTCAGATCAATGTTCTGCGTTCTGATCAAGTTCCTCTTGGAAAGAATATATATATATAAACTAGGGAATTTTAACAACCATCTAACTTTTAAATAATTTTTACAATTTTTAATCAAATATCATCTGAGTTTTAACAACTATCTAACTTTAAAAAAAAAAAAATTAAAATTTTTAATCAAATATCATCTGACTTTTAACAACTTCCTAAGAGTTTAATTTGAATGAGTTTGGTGTGAATACCCATATTCCATTCAAATATCTTATTTCATGTGCAATAAGATTTAAATTTAATTTTAATGGGAACAACAACAATCCTATTTCATGTGCATTTCGATCGAATCTTTCATTTATTGCTTTAATTTTAATATTTTTGGGGGTTTGCTGTGAGAAAGTCAACATCAATTAATTAATTTTTTATTTTTTTTTAAATATAGCTTCTCAGTTGATTAAACAAGACGAATATAAAAATTATATAAAAAAATGTATAAAAAAATTATGTATCACATGCATGCCGTGTGCTTTCGCCTTACAACTCCGACGATGACGGTAGCTTTGTCGACGACGATGACGAGTATGGTTCTGACGTGAGTTTTCGTCCTTTTCTGTGAACTAATACCTCTTTTCTTTGGTTAAGTAATTGTCTGTGTAGACGAAAATGTGTAAGCTAGTCATTATTTAGTAATATTTTGTGATTCTATCTTCTAAGCGCAAGATGTTTATTCATTTTACGTTGCTTAAAAATTGGATTAAGCAGCGAAATTTTTAACAGGTAATTGCAGTCATATAAGTAAGTTGTTGTTAGTATCGAAGCAGCATTATATTTAGCTACTGATTGAAGCCATGAAGGATTGAAGGTAGTTAACAAAATATATGCCACTAAATCGTTCCTAAGTGTGAGGAAATGAGGTAGAAAATTTCAAATGAAAAACATGGTGCTTTTGGTTTTCATAGTTGCTACAATTATTGTCTCGTTTGGAGGGTACTCTGTAATTAACAATTTTATTTCAAAACATTGCTAGCAACAGTTGAGTTTGACGAAACTCTGTTTCGTTTTTCTTTTCTTTTTTTTTTTTTAAAAAAAATATTTTAAATTTGGGGTGACATGTTAGAAACCTGGAAAACCTGCAAATGGAATTAATGGTATGAAATGGATTAGTTTAGAGATTCAATTGTAGTTTTTTTTTTTTTTTAATAACTTAATTTCATTATCGTGTGTAGTTGGATGCCTACTTGACCCTTATTCCTTCTTTCTTTCTTTTTTTTTTTTTTTAATATAGCTTCTCAGTTGATTAATTAAACAAGACGAATATAAAAAAAAAAAAAAAAAAAAATTATGTATCACATGCATGCCTGTGGATCTTCATCAAATTAAACAGTTTGTTAATGTTTTGAAAGGCAAAACTAAATGAACGTGCAGGGAAAATATTGGAACAATTAACAATACCACATTATCATATATTTTATACTCCGTAACATGTTGGAACAATTTGGGCTTATGGGGTCCCTTGTAAGGCTTCGTGCCTCTTTTTAGTGTGGTATAAAGTTCTTGTTAAAAAGAAAAGAAAAAAAAAATACAAAAACTATGTAGGAACTAGGAAGTTGGAACATCCAGACTCCCGAGCTAACAACAAAGAAACCGTTATGCCAGAGTAGAGGTGTCAAACGAGTCAGTTTGAGCTGACCTGATCCAGTCCGACACTAACATGTTACATGTTTTTTATTATTATTATTATTGTTATTATTATTATTTTAGATCGAGCCGCCTCGATCCAATTAAAAAAAAATAAAAATTAAAGCTAGTTCTATCTGATTCATAGGTCTAAAAATAAAAAATAAAAAATATTAAAAATTATATATCAACTAATTTAAGATATGTATTCCTTCTAAATTAGTTTTACAAGTTTACATATTTGAAAAATGTCTTCCAGCTAAAAATTTTAGGAAAACATTTTCTATCAAATTAGACCTTTTTTCGATTGACCAAAATGATAATTTTCTTTTAATTTTATTTTCTTTTAATTTTATTTTCTTTTAGTAGTAAAACACAAAAAATTCAAAAAAATGACTTCCCAAAGATTTCCAAACAAATCCTTAAAAAGGGATATCTTAGAGCAATTTGATCTTCTATCATAGAAAGGGAATCCCAAATGTTCAAAAATTGACCGTGTGCTACTCCGTATAAATTACGGTGATTGCCCAATGATTCATCACGAGAGCTTGATTATAGCTCTGAGCTTTCAGCTTGAACATAATATTGATAACTTTGAAGATAGAGGTTTAAATCTTATTAGGATAATGTAAATCGAGTTGGTCAAACAATTAATTAGTTGTTAGCTGATAGCTTACTGATTTAGCTTATAACTGGTTGTGTTAATTGGTTTAACCAAGTGATAGTTTTAAATGGTTATAAAAATGTGTTTGGTAAATTAAGTGTTTACTTTTATTAGCTGATTACATATAAAATAATGTATAAGAGTATGAGTATATTTTGTTATCTACTTAGCTTTTAAAGTATTTTTATAATTTATTATTATTGTTGTGTTATTGTTAATTATTTTTAATTATTATTTTTTGTTTTATCATTAGTGTTGTTATAATTTTTTTTTTTTTTGGAATAAGGGTCAAATAGGCCCTTCAACTGCACACAATAATGCAATTAGGCCACTGAACTTAAAAAATTTACAATTGAGTCCCTAAATTAACCTATTTCAACCAATTTCTCCAATTTGCAGGTTTTTCTCATTTCTAATAGGTCACTTAATTTAAAATATTTTATTTTAAATAAGTTTTAAAAAATAATTAATTAAAATAAACTAAAATAAAAATAAATAAATAAATAAATAAAAAGCATCGTTTCTGCCGGAGTAGCCGGAGAGAGACCGGAGCTGGCAACGCGCAGGTCGCCGATCGGAGAGACCGGGAAAACTTGAGAAGGCCAAACCGCACTGGCAGCGCGCATGTCACCGATCGCTGGTCGGAGACTCGGAGTTCGCAGTAGGCAGTTCCGGCGTTTCGCACTTCCGTCTTCTACTTTGCGCCTTCGCCTTCGCACAGTTCGCAGAGAGAAGGCGCCATGGCCGGAGACAGAGAGAAGGCGCCTTCTTTCCCTTCGCGTTTCCGGCGTAGGTGAGCAGCAAGACGGTGGTGGTGTCTTTGTTCTCCGCCAGCAGCAGCATAGGTGAAGCTTGGCAGTGGGATTCGGCGGACGGCGACAGAAAGCTAAGCAGCTTCTCCCTTCCGTGGTAGCGGCTGACCCTTCAATCTTTTATCGACGGCGAGGGGGCAGAGCATCGAACAGAGCAACCGTCGACGGTAGCCGGGCAGAGCTGCGTTGGAGGATGGCGGTGGTTCTACCTCTTCGACGGCAGCAGCGGCGGACTTGGATCTCCCTCTCCGGCGAGGGCCTTCACCGTCCCCTTGTTTCACGGCAGTGAGAAGACGCTTTTTTTTAAAAAAAAAATAATAATTTATTTTAGTTTATTTTAATTAATTATTTTTTAAAAATATTTTAAATTTGGTGACTTGTTATAAAGGGAAAAAACTTGCAAATTGGAGAAATTGTTTGAAATATGTTAGTTTAGGGACTCAACTGTAGCTTTTTTGAGTTCAGTGGCCTAATTGCATTATTGTGTATGTTCGATGGCCTATTTAACCCATATTCCTTTTTTTTTTTTTTGACGGGCTGTTGTTATAAGTATAAAGAAATACTTTGTAGTTAATAATAATGCAATATTAAAAATATAATTTCAAATAAAAATGGATCAAATGCGAAGGATTGCTTAAGTAAAAACTAGTATTTAATCTCATTTATTGATTCAGTCCATATCAAGGGTCCAGAATGAAGATAATTTTTTTTAAAAAAAAAATGCGGTGAAATTATGGTAACTTTGTCTTTGTGTAAGTTCATATTATTTTATCCTTAACCAACATGGTTGGTTTGGTGATTCAGTACCTCGTTCTTTAAGCATGAGGTTGGGGGTTCGAGGGATTAGTCTTCTAGCACAGTGTCTCCCTTCGAGTGCACATTGGTGAGCCTTCCAGTACACAATTGATCGCTCGGGTGCAATATAGTGGATTGCGGAACAAAACAAAAATAAATTTGTTTATGATCATCCTCAAGGATTAGGGGTTGGGTTAGCCAAAGAAAGTTCTAGACACAAGCATAGAGCATTTTATAGAAGCTAAGCAACATATAATAAGATGTTAACAGGAAAAACGTAGAAGTGGAAGTAACAGAATGAAAATGATAAATAAAAATGTAAGGATTGGAATGAGTATTTATTGGTCTGATGCTATCAAACAAAGGATTGAGGGATACGAAACTTTATCTTTGGGTTCAAAACTACCAACACCAATTCAGTATACTAACATGCCACTCTCGTGATCCAATGTTAGGTCGAATCAGAACACGGGGGTTGTCCCACTCTCGTGATGCTACCAATGCTAGCACGACTAGTTTGGACCTTTAACGTTCCCTACTCTCGTAAGTGAACCTGAAGATCGTGAGATGTGCTCTAAGGGAAATTGATAGTTGAGAGACAAGCCTAAGGTGTGAATACTCGTGAACTCCTTGTTCATTCGGTTGCCAAAATTCCATACTAGACTAGTATTAATAAGATTGTGCACAAACTCATCAACACTAACACACAAAACATCTCACTACACAAGAACCTTAGGTTGGGTTTCAATCCCCCGTATAAAATAAGCGTTAAATATGCATCAAACACAATAAACACCTCTATCTAACCCCTAAACTACTCTACTCACTCATAATAAAAGAACAAAGCACAAGAACATTCATAAATAACATCATCCAACAATGTATTAAATAAATAAACTAGAAATATTCCTTAATATAAGTAAAGATATGATTCACCAACGTAACACCAATTCGGTATACTAACAAGGCACTCTTGTGATCCAATGTTTGGCCGAATCGGAACACGGGGGTTGTCTCACTCTCGTGAAGCTAC